CCCCATCAGCAGTCCACCAGCCACTGCTCCCTGCCTTGGATTCACGGACACCAATCTTAATTCTATTCCCATTTTATGGCCCTCGACTTCTCAATATATTTGCTACTTCCTCTGATGACCCCAACTGCTAAATCCAGAAGTTTCTGAGGGCTTGTCAATCCTTGATGAAGTCATCTAACCTACTGGTATTAAGTGCCATCTATACACTGATGACATCAAGTATAAGGGCTCAGCCTGAGAAGGTACTGATTTTTCTCATGTGCCAAGAAGTCTTCAAACAGGCAGTCCAATGGCAGGGACCATGAAATCATGGCAGGAAAGTGTCCCTGTGTTTTTCAGCCAAACCATTTGTCTGCAGCTTTTGTCTTCATAGTGCAAAATTTATCATCCAGATTCCAGGAAACATCTGATTGACAAGAAAAAAGGGGGAAGGATGAAGGACAGTAATTAAAGAGAAAAAGCCAGATGACACTGTCTCTTCATTTTTCTGAAGATTTTGTTTATTTCTATTTTTTCATTGAGGTATAAGTGACATATACCATTAGATTAGTTTCCGGTGTACAAGGTAATGAGTCAATATTTGTATGTATTGCAAATGACCACAAGAAGTCTAGTTAATATCCATAGACAGTCCTCTTTTAAATGGCTCTCCTCCTGTCTCAGGTATTGATCCTACTAAATTCTAGACTGAGGGGTCTTAAAAGACCCCATACCAACCTTTACAAGCTGCCATGTCTCCCCTTACTGTTATAGGAGACTTAAGGATTCCATGTTGACTGAGACTATTTCTATGTTTACCTCTACTCACCCATTTCCCCCTTAAATTTACATTTCTTGACCATTCTGCTCTCCCACAAAGGTTGGCTACCTTATCATGGGCAGATAACATCCTGGGATCCAGCGACAATAGGATACCCTCAGTGACCCCTCACAGCTCTATTTTGAGACCCTCAGGAAGAGGGTACATCTGACTTCCTTGCTCCCAAAGCTTGCCACACTTCTCATCATATTAAGGCTGGAATAAATCCTCGTGTCTCCTTTAGGGAGACATTAAGGGACATAAAGGATTAGGGATTTGATCCCTTGCAGGAAGTAGAAATAACACCCTCAGCAACAGCAGCAGGAATGGTGTGGACCACCACAAGAGGCTACAACAAACTCCACTTAGGGAACGCCAACTATATCCCAAAACGACCAGGTAAGAAATTCTTATGCTTTCCGTGGAGTCCTCAAACTACACCTAGACAGTCAGCTGGGCCAAACTCCTATGGATGTGGAGATAGAAGCCTACCACAGCCACGACCACCCCACATTCCCCTGGCAACGGGATACCTCTCTGGGAGAGAGGCTACAAAAATGACAAAGAACAAATTTATCAAACGCAGCTGTTGGCCCTTATCGGGGCTAGCTGTGTTCGTCTGTCTGCTCTGGGTGTTTGGGATACTTTGAGAGCCCCAGGCTCAATAATTTTGACCCAAGGATTACAACAAGCCCCTAGACAATCAAATGTGCTGCCTTAACAATTGGATATTTCAAAATTGGAAATATGGCGCCTCTCCTAAGTCTCCACAGATCCATTTGCCATTGCACGTGGCTAGGCTGGCACCTTGGCGGGCACAGCAGAACCTCACCCTAAGACAAAGGGCACATGTGAAATGGCCAGCTTGGAGAGCCTGCAGGCAGGACCACTTACAAGGCCAAGTTACTACATATGAACACATTTTAGCTGAGGTGACTCCGAGTTCCCACTTACTGACATGTGCCCAGGTTACCCCAAGACCTGGCCTTAATTTGCAGCCAGGCTCCCATCATGACCTATCTGGGCAAAATCATGGATTTCTTTTAAAAACCTTCACGCTGTCTCACTTACATTAAGTTTCAACGTGCTTTGGGTGAATGAGCTCTGTGGTGAGGCTCAGGGAGCATGCACGAGCAGGCCAGGCCTCTGCCAAATGCACAGGATAACCCACAAGATCCCATTGACTTCTGCAGTCCAGTTCTCATGCCCAACAATGCCAGCAGGTCCTCCAGACTGCCCAGGGACATTTTAGTCTTAGATCCTCAAGTTGGGAACCCCTAGCAATCTGAATGAATACTGACTGGGGAAGGCTATCATCACCCTAGCCCAAGAAATCACTTCTGCAGACGACAGCATCTCAGATGTCATCTCCAATGCCACTCCTCCATTCTCTGGGACCACCACAGAGGATCCCATGCCACCCACATGAAACTACAAGCCCGTGCCCCTCAATGACCAACTTTACCATGGAGCACTGCCTCAAATAATGGGACCTAAATCAGAGTGACTTTCTGGATATCGCTGCTTACTTGCTTTCTGACCCTGCCTTGCTCAAGAACACCTGCAAAACCGAGTTTTGCCCCTAATAACTATGACTCCATCATAACTCATATTCAACCTCTTTGGTTTTAAGGGCAATGCCTTTGTAATTCTCTGAAAACAAAGGTGCCCACCACCATTACTACTGTATCTTGCCTACATGCCTCCCTAGAGGAAGTCCCCTCCCTCTGTGCACTCCTAAAAATTGCAGGAGACTCTGTTGGCCCCCAGCACATACCACCATGAGGCCTCCACTCACACCCACTCTCTCTCTAGCACGAGAACATGCAGCCCAGGACTCCTGGGCCGCATCACAGCACAGAGCCCTAAACTTACCCCTCCCCCTCCTGCTCCTCCCTACGGCCACAGCAACACCACCACCCTCTTCATCCAGATGCTGAGATCACGGCTACTGCTTGAAACACAGGACACCGTTGGACTTGCCACGATCACTCTCTTCACCAAGCCATACACGTCTATCCAGCTGATGTCTGTATTGGCAATGACAAATACTGGACTACCAACTTCACAGCGAATGGCCACCTGTCCCCACCATGTATTCCTCTCACTCCCTTCAGGATATCACTCATTGCTCACAATATTCCTGCCTGAGGGTAACATTTCACATCCACACTCAGGGACAGTACCAGGTACAGACTCCACCTCTGTGCCACACCATCTACAGATATTCCATCCTCAGCTCTTGAATCATGTCGCATAGTCCACTTAACAGTGACCCTCCCTTATACATCACCAGAGACAGGGCTATCAGGTTATTCCGTAGAACTGACACCTCCAACTGACCCCCTCAATACTCCATCTATTTTGCCATCCCGTTTCCCACAGGCCAGCTCTCCGTCGACTGCTTCCCCATTACTGTAGATTGTCTATTCTCATTGAAGATACCGCTGCCCTTCGTAGACCATCTCTCCATCACCATTGGCAAGGCCTATTCATTATACTCAAGGTATAATTATCATTATACCCATTCAGGGTATAATCTTTGGCACATAAGGCACCACCTATTCCACAGTGGGACCAGCACAGCAGGGCAACTCACAGAGACCAACCAGCAAATGCTCCAAGCTTTCAACTCTCATATGACACAAACACAACCAGCCCTTGCCCTCTTAAATTAAGGTCAAAGATCAGTACCTAAAATGATTCTTAACAACTGTTTAGCCCTTGAATAACTGCTGGCGGACCATGGAGGTGTTTGCAAAATCAGTAACTTTCTGTTGTTCGCCCATTAATAACGTGCCATGTGGCCTAGCTAATCAGATACGAACACTCCTATGACTATTATTAAAGATGTTTCACATAATTACACTCTACAGTTGTATCATCACATAATCCCATGGCCCAGGCACCTCCCAATCTGCCATGGATTATTTCCCTGGTTCCCGTCCATCAAATGGGGAGGTTGGCTACGTGCTCTCCTTCAAGGGGTCATAACTACTGCTAGAAATAGCCTATACTCTCCTTTCCTTAATGTTGTGGATGCGTTTTAGCTGAATCTCATCTTACACAAGTGTCTTCTGCGATAAAGGTCTCAGCCACCCAAGCCTGCAATGTAATCTTAACCAGTACCCCAAATACACATAATGCAAACAGTGATGTTCAAGCTTCACAGGCCAGATGTATTAACTATATTTTAAAAATCTGTAAATTGATGCCTTAACATCTACACAACAGCCACTAGCTGTTTCAAGTGAATCCTGGCTGACCCATTAATATCTGGGGACTCCAGACAGCACCAAACCATATATAATCTAAAAGTCAAAATCAATACGCATTTCTCAGGGGGAACACTTTCAAACACAGCCAGCCACCTGCATGCCTGCTTACCCTGCCTAGCCCATTTTTCCCGTGGAAACCACAGTAAAATTGCATATTCATACTTCTGCTTCCTTTCCCTGTCGCATGGGCCCTTGGAGGGTCCGAGTGGCCTTCTGTGGAATGTGCTGTGTTCTCTCCAAGAAAGTGCGAGTGTAACAAAACCATAAAACTTTCTAGTTTCTCTCTCTTGATCTGCATCTGGCCTCACCATACCTCACACAACGTAAAATGATTAAAAGATAGAAACACAATTCATATTATTGTAGCTTTGAAATTGGGAATTGTGAGTCCTCCAACTTCTTTATTCTCTTCAAAATTGTTCTATTTGGGGTCCTTTGTATTTCCCTATGAATTTGAAGTTTGGCTTTGCCATTTCTGGAAAAAAAAAAAAGGCCGTTGGAATGTGGACTGCATTGAATCTATAGGCTGCCAGGTTAATACTGACATAATATTTTCTCCCTATCCTTGATTACAGGATATCTTTCCATTTATTTGTCTTCTTCAAATCCTTTCATCAACGTTTCCTAATTTTCAGTGTGCAAATCCAGGTGGTTAGAAGACAATTAAGTGTGAATCCTATTGATCCACTTTTGACTAGATAGCAACCTGGAAGGCATAGCAACTAGACCGGCCTATCAGTAGACAGAAAGACACCTCATACCCAGGAATGATCAGGGCCTAATCACAAAGGCTTCTATCTATAGGACCACTCGGAATGCTACGTATCTCAGAAGACCCCATGGTTCACAGTAAGGGCAGCATTCCCCATATTTCCTATACTCAGTTTCTCTTGAATTACCCTATGTTTATCAAGGAAGAGAAACAATCTTACGAAAAATTTTATTGACTATACAACATTTCTTACAAAGTTTTTCTCCACACCAAAATCACAAGTGAACATAACCAGAACAATTTTCTCACATTACACCACTTGGATTTCTGTCCGTTTCTCATATATTAAAAAAAAAAAATATTCCACTGAGGAAATAGACAAGGGCTTTCCATGTTTCTTATTGGTACAGTTTCCCTGTTAGTCCATACATGCCGGGTTGTGATGAGATTCTGATGGCTCTCCCTCATTCCTTACATTTCTAGAGCATCTCTCCAGTGTGGTTCTTTCATATCTTCAAAGTGAATCGGGACAACTCAGGGTTTTACCACATTCCTTACACTGACAGGATTTCTCTGCAGCTAAGTGCTTTCATGGTACCAAAAGGAAATGGGGAAACTGAAGGCTTTTCCACATTCTTTACGTTTCTAAGGTTTCTCTCCAGCGTGAGTACGCTTGTGAACGATCAAGTACAAAAAACTGCTAAATGTTTTCCCACATACATTACACTCAATAGGCTTTTGTCCAGTGTGAGTTCTAAAATGTCTGTTAAGATGTGAGGAAAGAGCAAAGGCTTTCCCACATGCGTCACATTTAAAAGGCTTCTCTCCAGTATGAGTTTTTCTATGGTCAGTAAGGCTTGAGGACTGAGTGAAGGCTCTCCCACATTTCTTGCATTCATAGGGTTTCTCTCCAGTGTGAATCCGCATGTGAACTTTAAGGGACACAGAACGTTTAAAGCCCTTCCCACATTCCTCACATTTATAGGGTTTCTCTCCAGTGTGAGTGCGGTTGTGAACGACTAAGTACGAGGAACTGCTAAATCTTTTCCTGCATACATTACACTCAAAACGCTTCTCTCCAGTGTGAGTTCTAAAATGGGCAGTAAGATGTGAGAAACTAGCAAAGGCTTTCCCACATGTGTCACACTTAAAAGGCTTCTCTCCAGTGTGAATCTTATTGTGGTAAATGAGGCCTGAGGATTGAGTGAAGGTTTTCCCACATTCCTTACATTCATAGGGTTTCTCTCCAGTGTGGGTTCGCATGTGAACTTTAAGGTGCATGGAACGTTTAAAGTCTTTCCCACATTTCTTACATTTATAGAGTTTTATTCCAGTATGAATTCGACTATGAACCTGAAGGTACGAGGAACTTCTAAAAGATTTTCCACATACCTCACACAGAAAGGGCTTCTCTCCCATGTGTGTTTTAACATGTCCAATAAGTTCAAAAGACTTAACAAAGGCCTTCCCACATTCCTTACACTGAAAAGGTTTTCTTCCAATGTGAACTTGAACGTGAGCGTTAAGGTATGCAGATCGTTTAAAGGATTTTTTGCATTCCTCACATTTGTAATGGTTGTTAGCAGTGTGAGTTTGTATATGCACACCGAGGCTAGCAGAGTGACTAAAAGATCCTGAACAGTCTTTCCACTCATAGAGTTTTTCTCGATTGTGAATTCTCGTTGGTGTCTGAAGGAAACACTGATTAGCAAAGGCTTTCCCGCTATCACTGCATTCGAAGGCTTTCTCTTGCATGCTAGTTTTCCTGCACACGATCGCTGGAGTCGGGCTGATGGCTTTTCCCCACTGAGTACACAAACAATGTTTCTCTCCAGGTGAGGTTTTCTTATGCAGAGCGAGGGAGCTTTTTCCATACTGACTGTCGTCATAACTGTCCCCTCCATTTTGAGTTCTCCTCTGGGTCTTAAGACATGAACGTTCATTGAAGACTTTCCCACATTGCTCACAATCATGGAGTTCCCACCCATTGGGAATTCTTTCCTGTTGAAGAATGAAGAATGATCATTCAAAGATTTTTTAGACTCACTAATTGATCCCACCCATCTGAAAATAGAAACATCATTATGATGATGATGATGAGGATGGCCATTTCTATTACATTCACACACTTCCTACCCTGTTCATTTCTTTTAAGTTGAATGATGGAATCCTTTGGCCAGAATGATATGCCATCTATTGTAATTTTAAAAGACTCCTGTACAGTTTCATGGAATTGTTTTCAAAAGTCAATGTCTAGTTATATAAGTGAAAATGAGTCCTTGTGTGAATTCTGAAGCAATGACTTTCAAGCTAGGTTTCGGAAATACCCCAATTCAACAGATGCAGAATATCTTCCCAGAGACATTGCTCTCTCAGACAAAGCCACTTATCTCAAATATTTATCAGTTATACTCATGTGCTATCTAATGAAAATCTCAATCTTTGCTGAATGTGGAAAACAAGAAATACCTCTTTTTAAACTTACTGTTCTTACCATTTCTAGCCTATTGGATGTTTTCTCCCCAAAAATATCCTGCTGAATCGTCGAGTCTTTGGTCTTAAGTTGCAGTTCCCATTCTAAAATTTAAAAAACAACAAAAAAATGTTGGAATTTGCAAAAGGAAATGCACGCTCAAGGAGTGAAAAACAACAAGGCTCATAGTATTAATTCCAAATTAAACATATTAAACAAAAAAAGGGCAAGACAGATTTGAAGAGCATGGCTATGCCAAAAATTTTGCAATGATAAGGATGTGCACTCAAGATTCAGTAGGTGATTAAAACGAATCTATGAAAATTATGATGGGGAAAAGAGACAGACGCTATCAGGGAAAAGAAGTAGGAAAGTTATAGACAAAGCGCATATATCTAAATAAAGTTAAAGAAGCAGAACAAGTCAAAGAAGCAGCAGAACAAGTCATCCTGTGAGATCACAGGAAATTTTCATTAAATGTAAAGAATGTATGAGAAGCTGACAATGCCCAAGGCTTCAGAGACCAGTGACCTCAGCCTTCTGGAGAAAGCATGTCTTAAAGTTTCCTCATTATGATTCTGACACACTGAGATTTTCACTGGCCAGGGAAGGTCTTCACGCTCACTCACCTTGGAAGACTCCTCTCCCCGCTGTCCTCCACTCTTCTTCTTCTTCCAACCAAGAGATCAGGTCGGGTTTGAACACCTGACATTCTGTGCACAGGGAAAGACGTATTAAGAGAAAAGGCCTCCGCAGACGACAAATTTCCCCATGAATCAGGTCCTAAATTTCTGATGAAATCAGGAGTAAAATTATTTCAAAAGACATAAAAATGCAAATATCCCTTCTGTACATCAAAGAGATTGGTTATCTCTTGCTTCTGAATCCTATGTTCAGATATATATATACACACACATTACAGAGCATTAAGACTTTTATTGAAATAGGAAATAAAGTAAGTATGAAAGAGATATGCATTCTCATGGAGAAACCACCACACCAGTGGTTGTCACACTTTATTTTCCACTGGACTCATGCCCAGTGTCTTCATTAAAACAAAGATGTCAGGGCACAACGCCAGAGTTTCACTCACTATGTCAAAGCTAGAGTCTGAGAATGCACATTTCTAACAGAGTGATGGGGATAATGTTAGTCCTAGAACCACAGTTTTACAGAAACCACACTGGATTAAAACCCACTAGTGTAGAGACTAGTGTTTGCTAGTGTCCCTTATGTGCAGATTTCACTCCACCAATACTGGAACGTAGTAAACACATCATATATATATATATACACACACACATATATATATACACACACATCTATATATCTGGTCCATAAGAGGCTACAGGAAGGATGGCAGCCTTACCTACTGTGGTCAGGTTCTTGTAGGTCTCCAGCATCACATCTCTGTATAGATTTTTCTGGGCTGGGTCCAGTAAAGTCCACTCCTCTCGGGTGAAGTGCACAGCCACATCAGCGAAGGCAACCGAGTCCTAAACCATCACACACAGGCTGGGTCAGTAAAGTAACATGTACACCAGTGTTCACTGGGGAATGAGGATGGGAGAGGAAATGGTAACAGAGGGTTTCATGGTCTCTCATCATCTCCCCCAGGGTGCAATGGTCCTATGTACTCTTCTCTTGGTCTACACTCACTCATGGTTGATCTCCTCCAGTTACGGCTTTAATGGAACCTCTAACACGTGAACTTATCTCACCACAACTAGACTAAAAGCTCTTCTCTTCTTAGTTCCCTCTTGCTGCATGGTTCTAAGCAAACTGCAGAAACTTGGAAAAGTTGATGAATGTATAAAATCTTTGAGAAATGCACACTTTCATCTTTGTTACCATGTCAGACCATGTAACAAAATAAAAAATATGCAGTCACCATCCTAAGAGACAATATTAAAGGTAATTATTGAAATACTGAGATTAGTCACAGGAACCAATATGAGAGGCTCCACTTTGGGAGGGAATTCAATAGGACTCAGTCCTGGAGTGGCTTGATTTCTTTCAGGAGCTCTGGAGACAGGTCTACCTAGAAGGAAATGTGTCTGTCTGGTGGTATTATATGTTATTTTGTAGGACACACTTTCTAATTACCTGAGAACAGTCTGTCAAACAGTCAGTTGCCATCCTTTCTGCCTCTATCTGTTCCTCAGGAAGGCAGCAAGGGTCCTTAGAAAGACCTAGGAGAAAAGAAACAAGGCATGAGGACGCAGAGATGACCACAATTCCCATATTCACCTGCCTGGAGGTCATTCCATTCTGGATTGAAATTCCCAATATCCCTTCACACTCAAGAAACCTCACACAAACACACACTACTGTCATCAAACGTCAGAGGAGTCCTGTCTCACCTGGAGCCACAAAAGGGGACTAGGAACTGTGAGCCATGCTGCCCATGAGGAAAAGCACAGTGGGTTCATTTTACAGAGGACTTAAGCCCTAAGGAATGTGACTCTTCACTCGTCAAGGCAATAAACTTGATGAATGAGATTATGCAGCCACTCTCCCTAAGGCATATGTACCAGGGAGCTGACTTAGAGCACAGCATTCTCTGCCCCACCTAAGCTCCTCCTACATAAACCAGCAGCACGAGTGCTTAGGTCCAGACCAAAGGACTCTATATTGTGCAGGGAGAACCTAAATGCTGCTAGAACAGTACGCTCTATAACAAGAGCATCAGTAACATCAACTGCCATTTACTGAGGACCACTGTACCAGATGTCTCACGAGGAGCTTACAGCTCACTTACACATTTGGCAACTTGAATACCTGAATCTACTCTTCCAACTCTAAATTCTGTATGATGTAAACACAAATCAAATATATCTGATAGATATTAGTGTCCACTGAATTTAGAATGCTTCAAATATAGATAATATCTTAGTTTTTTTAATATTGCCTTCATGCTTAATATTTTCAATATATACATGATCTGCAAACTCTACTGGACGGTACTGGCCAAGACTGCTCCTGGGCATATGAAGAAAAGAAAAATGAAATATTTTATTCGGTCAACACTCTTGAGCTTCCCTTGATGGATGCCGGAGAAGCCTGAAGCTCACATGGGCCTCCTTTTAAGTTCTTATCACTGTCTTATTCCTTTATTCTTTCAGTAAATAATGAAGAAGTTAAGTCCCTGTACCAGGCACTCAGTTGAGGGCACTAACCTATACAGAAAATGTCCCAGGCATTAAGGACCCAACAATCCTACTGGAGAACATAGACAATAAAATAATAATTGATATAACAATTCATCGCTGATATGGGAAAACAATCAAGCAGGTGAGAAAATAACCAGTGTCCTACATACACATGTACATATAATCACATATATTCTATTGGTTCCTGAATAAGAAAATGGAAGAAAAGGGAAATAATCATTAGGTCTTCTGAATCTGACCCTAAAAGATTAGAAAAAGCACGTTAATGTTTTTATAAAAGAAGTCAGGATACATTAAAGCCTTGGGAAGCCCCCACAGGTCTTGGTTGGAAACACTCAAATCAAACAGGTCTGCACTCTCCCCTTTCCTTGGCCAAAGGGCAGTGCCGTATCACACTCCCCCAACATCCGCCTATTGTACGAGCCTTTTTCAGATGGTGAGCACCTTTTCATTTCACTTTTCAGTTCGTTTTCCACCCAATTGGCTTTTATATTTATTTGTTTCTTCCACAGACTTCCTTCATGTGTCTTAAATCATCCTTTAACATCCTGTATTTGAAGATCATCTTCTTTTTGTTAAAAATCAGTAACTTCTGGTGTGATGCCAGCATCACAGCAGAGCACATTGTTCTGTCTCGCCCTTCTAAGTTCCAACCAGTAGGACAGGCACAGAACAACAAAGGAGTCTGCACAGCACACCAGAACACCTGGGAGAGCCATACATCTACACATGTGAAGGGGGGCTGACTAGTCTTCTTGTACCTCGTGGAACCAGGAGAGCAGTGGCGGCCGCTCCTGAGACTGGAAGTTCCAGGAGCTGTGGCCGCACCTCCCATCACAGAATCCCAGAGCTGAGGTAGCACAGACGAACGGAAGCCCCAGGAGTCCAGGGAGCCCAAGCTGCTGGAGGCACCAGGGAGCACTGCAGGCCCATGACCAGAGGCTCCGGGAAATGTGATACCTGTAACCCAGCGCCCTCCCCCTACCCTGATGGCAGTGCCTCTGACACCAGCCCTTCCAGCAGCAGGGGTTGCATCCAAGACTCTGATACCCCCTGGAGTGGCAGCAGTGCCCCTGGCCTGAGATTGCAGGAATCCTGCTGGTGTAGAGACCAGAGGCTGCAAGAGTCACAGCGACACTCATGGCTCAGCCCCACCCCCTCCTCAGGCAGTGGCAGGTAGCACCATCAACTGGAGGTTTCAGAGCCACCAGAGTGCCCAGAACTCAGGCCCCAGTGGTGTTACACCAACACTGGCCCTGCCGGCAGAGGGTGCTGCATACAACACCCTGGGTCCCTGATAGTGGTGGTGCCTGTGACCTGAAGTTCCAGGACCCACGCAGCCACTGGAGACCAGAACTTAGGGACCCCAGTGGCACTTGTGACCCAGGTACTCCTTCCCTTGTGGTGGTGGCAGTGTCGTCAATGAACATGGGCAACCTGGTGGCAGTGGCAACACTCACAAACCCAGTATCCTGGCAGCAGCAGAGTGTTGCCAGCACCCCTGGATAACCCAGGAGCAGCAGTAAAGTGGTACATGCAGCAGCAGTGTCTGAGCCCATGGAGAGCCCAGAGACCCAGAAAACAGTGACAATGGAGCCAATGACCCCAGTCCTCCCCAGATGCACGTGCAACTTCTGTCCCTTCACTCATAGCAGTGGTGCCTGCAAACCAACAAACCAAGACCTGGCAGAGATGCCTGTGACCCCAGCTCCTGCCCCGCTCTCCCTGTGCCAAGCTGCAGAGGGGGCACCCCCAACCCAGGCAACGCCAGAAGCAGTAGTGGTGTTCTTACCCCAGTGACCATACAGGTGACACCCACAACTGCAGCAACATTGTAGGCAGCAAGGAAGCAGCAACTACAGAGGCACAAACAGCACAATGAGGATACTGATGACCCATCTGGCAGAGACAGTGGAAGGTGGAAAGCACAGGCTCTCAAATGCGACAGAAGCAGCTCAGAATCAAAATAAACAGCTTACCCAGATAAGAAAAATATTTCCTACCCCAAATGCACCATCAGAGCAACAACTCAACCACTGTTAAAGAATAAAACGAATCCAGCAGCATAAAAAGAATTGACATTTCTCTAGCAGTCCCACTTAAAGTCATGGAAGACTGATCTAACTGACAGAGAATCCAAGATGGCTGTCATGAAGACACACAAAGGCTTACAAGAATACTAAGAAAGAGGGCTTACTGAACTGAGGAATAAAATGAATGAACAGAAGGAATCCTTCACCAAAGAGATGGAAAATTAAAAAAACAAATAAAATTCTGGAGCTGAAGAGTAGATAAATGAGGTTAAGAATAAAGTAGAAAGCACTGGAAATAGAGCAGAAGATATGGAAGAAAGAATTAGCAAGCTCTAAAGTACAAATCTAGAAATGATTCAGGTGGAAGAGGGGAGAGAAGTAAGATTTTTTTTTTTTAAGATTTTATTCTTCCTTTCCCCCTGCCCTTAGCCCCCAGTACACAGTTGTATATTTTTAGTTGTGGGTCCTCCTAGCTGTGGCATGTGGGACGCCGCCTCAACATGGCTTGATGAACGGTGCCATGTCCGTGTCCAGGATTCAAACCAGCGAAACCCTGGGACACCAAAGCAGAGCACATGAACTTAACCACTCGGCCATGGGGCCGGCCCCGAGAAATAAGATTTTTCAAAAATGGAGAAATTCTACAAGAACTATCTGACTCAATTTGGAAAACCAACACAAGGATAATGGGTATCCCAAAAGGAGGAGAGAGGGAGAAAGGAGCAGAGAGCTTATTTAAAGAAATAAAAGCTGAGAACTTCCCAAACTCGGGGAAAGAACTGGATATACAAGGCCATTAAGCTAATAGAACATCTAATTATCTAAATTCAAAACGACCTTCCCCATGGCACACTGTATTAAAACTGTCAGAAGTCAACGATGAAGGAAAAGTGTTAGGGCAGCCTGGGAGAAGAAAATAACTTTCAAAGGAAGCCCTATTAGGTTATCAATGGATTTCTCAGCAGAAAATCTATAGGCTGGGAGAGAGTGAAAGGATATATTCAAAAGACTCAAGGTTAAACACTGCCAGTCAAAAATGCTCTATCCAGCGAAGCTATCCTTCACAGATGAATCGGAAATCAAGGCTATCCCCAACAAAGACAAGGTGAGGAAGCTCACCACCACTAGACCTGCCTTACCAGGAAGCGTGAAAGGAGCCCTCCTGCCCAACACAAAAAGGCAAAGGAATACGAAGTGTTGAACAAGGTGATAAACAGACAGAATCAGTAAACTGCAACTCGGTATCAGAATAGGATAGAAAATAATTATAACATAGGGGCTGGCCCGGATCCCGGGTGCGGACATGGCACCGTTTAGCAAGCCATGCTGTGGCAGGCGTCCCACATATAAAGTAGAGGAAGATGGGCATGGATGTTAGCTCAGGGCCAGTCTTCCTCAGCAAAGAGAGGAGGATTGGCAGCAGATGTTAGCTCAGGGCTAATCTTACTCAAAAAAAAAAACAAAAAAACAAATGCTAAAGAGAAAGAAAACATTAAAAATAACCACAAACACTTAATTTGGTCATAAACTCACAATACAAAAAGGGATAACTTGTGACAACAAAAACATAGAAGGGGAAGAGGAAAAGGATGGAATCTACATAGAGAAATGGACATAAGATGCGATCAGCAGAAAAACGACTATCTCACCTATGAAATCTTCTATACAAACCTCACGGCCAAGTGTCGGAGATGCTGTGGAGAAAAAGGCACCCTCATATACCGCTGGTGGGAATGTAAACCGGAGCAGCCACTATGGAAAGGAGTATGGTGATTGCTCAAAAAATTAAAAACAGAAATACCATATGATCCAGCTATTCCACTTCTGAGTATTTCTCCAAAGAACATGAAAACATTAACTTGAAAAGATACATGCACCCCTATGTTCTTGTAGCATCAACCACAATAGCCAAGACTTGGAAACATCCTAAGCGCCCAGCAAGGGATGAATAAAGTGGTGTATATATGTATACAATGGAAAATTCAGCCGCAAAAAAGACAAAACCTTCCATTTGCAAATAGGTGGATGAACCTTAAGGGTATTATGCTAAGCGAAGTAAGTCAGATGGAGAAAGATAATTACCACATGACCTCGCCTATATGTCGAAGACACACACACACATACAGAGACCCGACTGGAGGTTACCAGAGGGAAAGAGCAAAAGGAGTAGAGAGGCATATGATGTGTAAGGTGATGGACGGCAACTAGACTTGGTGGTGAACACGATGCAGTCTATACAAAAGTCAAAATACAATGATGTCCACCTGAAACTTATATGTTATAAACCAATGTGGGTGCTATTAAAAAAAAAACAATAACCTTTAATAAATCAAACACAGACCGACAAGCCAAATGCTGACACAAAATGGCATCTGAATGACGAAAACCACTGAAAGTTCCACACTTCATTATCTACGAACCAGCATCACCCTCACAACCTCTCAGTCCTTATTCTACAGTTCAGAAGACCCAGAAACACATAGGTTACAAAATCCGTGTGTCTAGACTCACACTATAACTGTCCTTACTACCGGGGTCTCAAACTGGGGGTCCTCGGGCTCAGTAGGCCCAAGAATCTGTTTAGTCAGGTGGTGTCTGCATAGAATGCTTTTCTTTTCTTTTTACTTTGTAATTGAGGTTCTAAAAATATACAATTAAACACACACATCTTAAGTATTTAGTGGATGAGTTTTGACAGTCTCATGTAATCCCCAGCCTAAACAAGATACACAACACAGTTCCTCCTCCACACAGCCTTCTTGCACCTTCCAGTCCATTCCTTACCCCTTGCTCCCAGATGAGCAATTTCTGAGTTCAGAAAGTTACTAGACACACTATTCTCTATTTGCACATTAGGCAGCTTACATAGCATTTCCAAAGTACATCCTAATTGATCCGTCCTCTATTGTTTGGTTTGACACTATGGGCAAAATATATTAAAATCTCCCCCCAGAATTGTGGCCTTGTCTATTTCTTCTTCTCCTTCCATCAGGCAAAGCTTTATATATTTGAAGCAATATTACTGAGCGGATAGACATTTAAATATGTATATTTTTGGAGAAACAATCTTTTATCATAAAGAACTCTCTAGCTGTACTAATGCTTTTTAACACTGCTGTCTGACATCAGGGTCAGCTTGCTTTGGAGAGGTTTCTTTGCATCATGGGCAGCATCATGTCTGTTTTGGATGCCAGTGTCTGCCAGTACAAAGAGCGGCACAGGACCTGACTCACTGAAGGCAGCCAGTGACTGGTGATGAAAGGCCAACAGAGCTTTCACGTCACTTCTTGCCAATAGGAGAGACATTCGCAGAGTCACAGGACATCCTCATCAAGCTTATCTTCAGGCTCCTGAGCAACTGTTTCACTATGGCACAGCTGGCTCATTGGGACATCCAAGTAGCAAAGGGAGAGGGTAACATGGATATTTCCAAGCCATGTGGAGCCTTCAGGTGCTGGCAAACTGTATTGTCAGGGGAGTCTTCTGGTCCTTTACCTGTGGAGTGACTCTAGCCCCCAGATGCATCAGTGTTTATAAAAAGTCAAACAGGAGGGCTCACTCTGGATGTTCGGCCAGGGAATCAAAGGCCTGATCTGGGTAGGAGAAGGAACCTCCAGGTGGACTACAAAACCACTCTATGTTTATTAACACAAACGTTTGCTAAGATTGATAATAACACAGTGAATTACCGATTCTGATTAATTCCTTGAATGAATGTGCTATACACAAAATTAACACACATTTATACTTTCTCTTGTTTTCTCTTGATTCACATCATTTGAACAGATACCACTCATTTTTCCTGTCAGGTATACACTGAAGATTAGAATCTTGCGTCAGCATTTCCCACAACAAATAAAAGGCCTCTACCGTCAAATTCAGGAGTAACCCTTGACGCACTCCCCTCTCTGAGCCTAGAAATGTTATCAACCAAATACAGAAGGTTTCCCATCTCCTCCTGGCGTCCCTTCCCACGTGGCTAACTCTGATGCATTGTCTTTTTATGACTTAAATATTTATCAAGTCCTGTACCTTCACCTGTTCCCTTATCAGGAAGAGAAAATAATACCATCCTCTACTTTAGCTCCAGAACTCTAATCAATTTGTAATAATACATTTATTTTCTTGGATAGATGTTTGTCTCCTCCGATAGTTTACAAGTTTCCTAAGCACAGCCATGGGTTGAATTTTTTCACTAAGCACTAACTAAACATTCAAACATTCATTAGGTGGGGGTATATCCTCCAACAAACAAACAGATGAAGGAAATGCCTGGATTCTTTCTCTCTTACCTTCTACAAAATTCTCAAATTGGGGCCGGCTCTGTGGCCGAGTGGTTAAGTTTGGGCGCTCTGCTGCAGCGGCCCAGGGTTCGGATCCTGGGCGCAGACATGGCACGGCTCGTCAGACCACATTGAGGCGGCATCCCACATCCTACAACTAGAAAGACGTGCAACTAAGATATACAACTATGTACAGAGGGGGTTTGGGGAGATAAAGCAGAAAAAAAAAAAAAAAAAAAGATTGGCAACAGTTGTTTGCCCAGGTGCCAATCCTTAAAAAAAACCCTCTCAAATCATTTCATTTTGTTTTCCATAACAATCACCCACCATCTAGGTTCCATGATCATGTTCCAAAACTTCTTTATGATAAGAGTCTATCTTGACTCCACGCCTTCACTCTCATCTTTCCTGAAGTCCATTCCCAAAGCAGGAGTTAGTGGGTTCTATTTAAGTTGTAACTGATTGAAATCACTCTCCTGCTAAATCATCTCAGAAGATTCCACGGCCTTAGAATATTGTCCAGAGAACCTCACTCTCCTGTCCCTGCTCTCCACTCTATCTCCCACCACTGTGTCTGTTCCACTTCTGCGAACCCTCTCTCCTCAGTTTAAGAAATACACCAAGGTCTCAACTATGCTGGATTTTGCTAATCAAGCTCCCTTGACCTGAAATTTCCTCACCCCCTCACCCACTCTACAAATCTCACAATAGCCCAAGGACCCGACCACGTCAATCCTACTCAGGCTTTACTCACAACTTAAATATCAATCCCTCCCAATACATATGACCAGCTCATATTAAACCATTCTGATGTCCAAATCACAAACTTACCAGTATTCGTTTAATATCTGTATTCCTAAAGAGACTGGAAGCCCCATGGTGGCAGTACTATGTCCATTTTGATGGCCATTGTTTCTCTGTCCCTAACACACATCCTAGCTCATTAAAGGAATTCAATGACCATTTGTGGATTGAACTGTCATTCCCCACAAGAATGTTACAGTACAGTATGCACAAATAAAAGGCACACAAAAATAGAATTACTACCTAATAATCATGTAAAACTCACACAAAATGTCTGCATAGAATATAATATAAACCAAACACTGCACTTCTGAAAAATATTTGAATATTTTTACTCAGGATGAAAGTGGACAGGTATTCTATTTGAAAACAAGTGCCTTGAAGTGAAAACTAAATTTTTTTCGTTATGGTTCTTCATATTTTTAGACATGTTTTTAAAAAGCTCATTCACAAACTACCAAATGGCATAAGACCTGTAGAAGGAAATTTGTAATATCCAGAAAAAGTAAATATATATTTGCCCTTTGACCTAGAAAAACAACCTGAGAAACTTGCCCTGAAAATACACCCCCACAAATTCGAGACAACAAATACAGAAGTTTATTCACTGCGGGTGATTAACAGATGCTAAGATAATTATCAGAAAGGCTGTTGGGGAACAAGACATTCTGAGTATCAAAATATGACCCCACACAGGACTTTTGTATTCACAAGGAAAAGTCCACCTTTAAAATAGAGTGCTCTGCTGATCACTACCTTAAGCAAGTGATCAAAGTTGGCATCACTAACTGAGGGATGACATAAATTTCTGACCTCCTGACAGAATGCAATTTGATCTAGCCATCACCTACAAATATTGTGAAATAATCTTCTGAAGCCTCTACACCAGGAGCTGGCACACTTTGGTCACAGGCCTGTTTGTGTAAATAAAGCTTTGTGGGAACACAGCTGTGCCCAATTGTTTCCTTAGGTCTATGGCTGCTTGCCCACTACAAAGGCAGAGCTGAGTAATTCTCACACCTTATGGCCTGCAAAGCAACAAGTACTTACTATCTGAACCTTTTCAGACAAAAAGTTTGCCAACCTCTGCTCTGGACCCAATTACCAGTTGAGGAGAAATGGAGGACAGGTTTACACACACCAAGAAAATTAAATCAGAAATATCAAAATGCGTGACTTTCCATAAGAATGTGTATGATTCTTCAAACAAGAGCAACTGATCTAGGTTAACGATTAAAAGATATAAACAACGGCCATATATAAACCTTGATTGAGTCCTAGATCCAAAAACATATCTTGGAACAATGTGGAGAGTTTTAGTTTTTACTTAGAGTGGATATTTGATGACATTAGTCTTTTTAACTATCCTGGGTGAACTAATAGTATTATGATGGGATAATGTCCTTATCTTTGGGAGATGAATAACCAAGTATTTAAAGGTCAAGTATCACGCCTGCAATTTATTTTCAACTTACTTTCAAATAATTACCATAAAGTTATTTGTCTATGAAGGGAGCAAACATGCAAAGTGTTAACAATGGTGAATCTACTACAATGATCACTCACTGTATTAAATGTTCAAATTTTCTGTAGGTTTAAGATTTTACAAAAGAAAAACGTGGGGAAAAGAACACATTTAGTGCAAATATCCTATCAATGGTAAAGTGAACTATTCTAGAACTGGTGTCATAAAGTCTCCATCTTTTTCTCCTGGAGGCCCCTGACTAAAGCTCTGCGGGGATGGATGGGCCTAGCAGCGCAGAAAAGACAGCTGAGTATTCTCGCTTTTCTTTAGGTGACACACTTACGGTCAACATCTGCTTATAATCATATACACAAACATGCTCACCCCTGACACCCAAGAAACTATCTTACCTTCACGTAATATTCAAAAACGGAAGCCGCAAAGACAAGGCCAAATTCTCCGGTGACACGTTCTGTCGCCCAGGAAAAGCAGAAGAGGCCCCTGACCCACTTTCCCCCGGACTCACAGGCACACGGCGGGGGCGCAGGTCCTGAGAACCGGAGGGCGCGGGGCCAGAGCAACCGGACTGGCACAGCGGAGCTGCTTCTCCTTCTGGGGAAAAGTCTCGAAGGTGACGCGGAGGCTCTGACCAGGGAAGCGCAGGGGACGCCAACGCCCCGCACGGCGCCCTTCCCGCCCCGGCTCAGCGCGGGGCCCAGCGGCCGGGCGGACGAGCGGAGGGCCCGGCCTCTCTACGGAGCCCCTCGGGTCCCGGGCCGCACCTGTCCTTTAACGCCCTCCGTGCGCCCAGGGCCCTCCCTTCACGGGCCGCACCGAGGACGGAGGGACCCCAACGCTACAACGTAAGCCTCCCCAAGATGCGCGGAGTCCCGGGGCAAAAAGACGGCGCGAAGTGGTGACGCCACTTCCGCCTCCAGGGCTCGGGCTGTCAATCACGTCCGTCCATTTCCGGCAGAGAACTCGTAGTTCTCCCCGCGTGGGTGCCGGGGGACCCTGGGTCGCTCCGCGCGGGGCTGGGGGCGGGAACAGGCCCCGCCCAGGAGGTTGAGGCCAGAAGACGGCCTATGGGCGGGGCTACAGGCTGGGGGCGGGGTTGGCGGCGGGACGTAGCCCAGCGCTGGGTTTAGACGTCGGAAGGGAGAGGCGAGGGGTGGGGAGTCACGTCGCCGGGTGCTCGTCAAAGGCTGCTCCGGGGGACTGTTCTCAGCGTCTTGGAGCCGTTACCATGATTCTCCCTTAATAATGTGCCTGCCAGTCCATGAGATGGTCTATCGTCTCCATTCAATCCATCCCCTATTTAAGCTTTATTTCCCGTATTTCTTTTTATTTACCTTGGACACCATGCTGACCTCTGATCTTTGATTCTTTTGAGTTCGCAGTGTATTCACCTCTTTCATGCTTTTTTTTTTCCTTCTAGTATGTATTTCTGGTTTTTATTTTTCCGATCCTACCATTTGGTCAAGGCCCCTCATATTAAATTGTGAAATAGCACTGATACCAAGTTTCCTAACTTAGGAATGGTTCTAGAGTTTCTCTAGTAATCATGCTGGCTATGGGTCTCAGTGAGTGACCTTTGTGGAGTTAATAATGGTCTGTTTAAGTCTGGATTTACTAGAACATTTTACCAAGAATTGTTCATGTGTTACTGCCCAAGTGGGCTCCTCTGCTTATGGCAAGAATTGCCAATAGTCAGGAGGCAAGGTGGTAGGCGAGAAAGGACTTTATTACAGCTTGCCAGCAAGAGGGAAGATGGCCAACTCATGTCCAAAAGAACCATCTCCCAGAGTGAAGACTATAGGCCAGTTACATATGGACTGGTCGCCAGGTGGGGGAGGTGGCTGCTCTCTGGGTGGGGCAGATATCTGGTCCCAGTTCCTGATCGTCCTTTGTTTTGGTGGATGTGCGTCAGAGAATTGGAGCAATGCCCTAAACCCTGATCTTTCAGTTGTCATTGATGATGGCTATCAGCACAGGCTCTCTGCTTGGGGGTCATCACATCCCTAAGGAACTCAAAAGAACAAAGTTATCTTAAAGCAGCTGGGAAGGGCCACAAAATCTACAGAGCATGTCTAGGCTAGTTAGTCAGAGGTCACTTAAAGTTAGAATATGGTTTCTTTTCTACAATATGGCTTCCCTTATGTCAACCTTGTGTTGAGCTGGTATCACATGTGCATTATTAAATGTCTTATGCATCTATTGAATTGATAATTATTTTGCTACATCAATGTTTCTTCTGTTGCTGTACAAAATATTTAATTTTTATGTAGCCAAGAAATTCTTTTTTGAAAAACAATTTCTGGGTTTCCTGCCTTGCCTTAAAAATTCTCTTCAAACTCTAGATTACATTCAGATTTCCTAGTTTTGTTTATTGTAATAAAGTGTCATTATTTTTAATGACATTTTAGTTTTTAATCCTCAAAGAATGTTTTCTGGCATGTGCTGTGGAGTAGTGGATCCAGTTTTTTTTTTCTGCTAGAAAGATGGCCACTTGGTATAGTATCATTTATTGATGAAATGTTGCGGGCTTGGTGAGCTGAGGAGTCAAAAGAAGGGTTTCTTGGACTCTCAAGTTCTGGTAGTAGTGCTCCTTTATTCAGAGAATAGCAGGGAGTAGCATACGGACAGGACCTATGGGCAGTAAAGAGCTGCAAGCAGGGGTTGAGGGTAGGGTTAAATTTAAGGCATAGGTGTGTGAGCTATCTCTTTACAGGACAAAGGAAAGATTATGTAAAAAAGTCATTAAATGGTATCAGTGTAGGTGGGGTCTGGTTATTGGGGGGTCCTATAACTTTAGATAAGAAACAGATCAGATCAAGACGTCCTATGCTTCCCAGGAGGATGATATAGATCAGGTCTGAATGTAGGGCAAGTCACCTTGGGTTTCTCTCCCTGGGGCAGCCTTGATCCTCATCAAAACTATCCTTGACCTACTGATTTGAAATTCCACCTTTTTAAACAACAAATTCCTATATATACCTGTATCCATTTCTGGACTCTTCCATAGCAGTAATATTTACTTATGCCCATATCGTACTCTTTTAATTGCACTAGTTTTATATTGTTTTAACATTAAAATTAAAACTATAATGGTAGCTAAAGTTTGTTGCGTCTTACTACTCTAGGTGCTTCAGAGATTAAATTTTTTATGCTCCTAATGACGTAGCTTCTGATGATTTTCTCTTTTGTTTGTTTTTGCAACAGCTATAGTGAGATATAATTTGCATGCCATACAGTTTACCCATTTAAAACTATACCATTCAGTGTTTTTTTGTATGTCCACAGAGTGGTGCAACCATCACAATTTTAGAAGGGTTACGTCACTACACAAATACCATTTGGCTGTCATACTCCCGTTTCCCTACTCTCTTAATATCTAAGTTGCCAAGAACCTGCTTTCTGTCTGTATAGATTTGTGTTTTCTAGACATTTCATGTGAATGAAATCATACAATATTTTCTAATTGCTGTGCGGTGGTATATCATCATTTTATGTAGGTCCTCTGTAATTTTTCTTTTGAGGAAGATTAGCCCCGAGCTAACATCCATGCCCATCTTCCTCTACTTTATATGTGGGACACATGCCACAGCATGGCTTGATAAGAGGTGTGTATGTCCGGGTCTGAGATCCAAACCGGTGAACCCCAGGCCACTAAAGCAGAGCACAGGAACTTAACCGCTACGCCACCAGGTCGGCCCCCAATCCTCTGTAATTCTTTAAGCAAAGTTTTGTAGTTTCGGTATACAAGTCTTTTACCTCGGTTAAATATATGGCTAGGTATTTTATTGTTTTTGATGTAATTGTAAATGGCGTTTTTAAAATTTCCTTTTCAGCTTGTTCCTTGTTGTATAGAAGCACATTGATTTTTCTGTGTTGATATTGTACCCTGAGACCTTGCTGAATTTGTTTATCAGCTAGAGTAGTTTGTATATATGTGTGTGCATTAACCACACATCTTACTTTTCTTTGGCTGCACAATGTTACATTATACAAATGTACCCTTATTTATTATTGTAGTTCCCTAATGACTGATGGTTGGGTTGTTCCCAATATTTTTATGTAACAAACAGTGCTGAGATGAATAACCTTGTAGGTAGGACATTTTGCATAAATATGAGTGGACCTGAGTGATAAGTTCTTATCATTGAAATTGCTGAGTCAACTCTAAAATCAGAAACAGCGCGAGGACATTGAGGGATAACAACAAGGCATGTTAATATAACTGCAAATAGTTTAGCATTATTTCATTAACAGTAACAATTTTATTATTATTTCATAAGCCAAAACATTAGTTTGCTGCCATGCTCCCACCTTATGATGTGTTTCCTTGAAAATAGGCCTTGAACACAAAGGCTGTGTGCAGATTTTTTTTGGGGGGGAGGAGTCAATCCCAGGGAGCAGGAGTACCAGTAAAGGGAGTGAAACAGAAGGAGGGAAAGCCAATGAAGGCATCATTATCATTTTGATCCCTCTATGGGTGACTGGTGCTCAATGCTATCAAACCCTTCTGAGGTGAATTATGAAATGTGTCTCAAAACTTTCCACCAGGTAGGTGAAAAGACATCAGCTCCTGTCTTCTATTGGCAAAGGGTGATCCTAGAGGGATTAACATCCCCACATTTCTGAGTTGCACATTTATGAATACAGAGCAGATTCCCTCAGGTGTCCCATATTGTGGTATCAGGGATGCTTAAGGGCAGGAGTCAGGAGGAATATGGCATGGGCCTGAGGCAGGTGCTGTCCAGTTGCAGCTGTGCAAAGCTTTCACAGGCTCCATTGAAATAATTAAAGAAGATATGGCTGGGGTACAGAGATGGGGCAAGAGGATTTTGAATTGGTGCCTCTCTTAGTTGGCTAGGATTGCCATAATAAATACCAAAGACTAGGTGACTTAAACTACAGACATTTATGTTCTCACTGTCCTGGAGGCTGGAAGTCCAAGATCAAGGTACCAGCAGGTTTGGTTTCCTCTGAGGCCTCTCTCCTTGGCTCGCAGATGGCCGCCCTCTTGCTGCCTCTTCACATGGTCATCTCTCTGTGCACAAATGCCCCTGATGTCTCTCTGTGTGACCTTATCTCCTCTTCTTATAAAGATATCCCTCAGATTGGATTAGGGCCCACCCTAATGACCCCATTTTAGCTTAATTACCTCTTTAAAGACACTTTCTCCAAATACAGTCACATTCTGATGTACTGGGGATTAGGGTTTCAACATATGAATTTTGGGGGCTCACATCGTAGTCCATAACAGTGCCCAAGATGTGTGTAATATACCCTTCTGCAACTATTCCCTTTTATTCATCACGTGGGAAACATGCTATCAAAACCACAGTCCTTGTTTCCTTTTCTATCCCATTATTTACAGTACTATTAGATCTGGATTTTTGTTTTAAAGAAGCAAATTACCTAAATATTACATTTCAGTAAAATGTATATGAAAAACAAGACATTCTGAAATTACCAGATGGATTAATGGAAGACACAAGGGGAAATCCACCCTACGAATTTCTGACAGTTACTAATGTTCAGGTTGTGTAGATGATGTTTACTATCAGGCAAAGCCTGGGAGAAAGAGCAAATTGGAAAGAGGTTTGCACTCCCAAGTTCATTTCTAATTCTAGTATTAACATTGTTGTGATTGATTTGTACCTTTAAATATTTATTACCTGACATCCAATAAGTACTGGTGTGAAGTTTGAAACAAAATAAAGGCCCATTTTCATAGAGCTTACATTCTATTAGAAGAAAGAAAATAAACTAATATATAAATAAATGGTGAAAATAGAGACTGTGATGAGTGCTAATAAAAAAATAAATGCTAATCAGGAAACCCATTTTAACATAACGTTGTTACTTAATGGTCTAGAGCAATTCCATGTGTGGATCTGTTGATGTCAATTGTGCTGCTCTCTCTGATATAACATGTTTGGAAGGAGAGAAGGAAGGAAAAAGGAATGAATGAAAAACGCTGAGTTTGTTCTTGGAAAGGTTAGTTTGACGTGTCAATCAAATACTCCACTAATAATAGTACCCCGCTAACCACCCCAGTGGCACGTGTTGGTCTGGCGTCCTGTCTTAATGGCAGTAGTGGGAGAGAGAACTGGGCTTACAGAGAAGCAGGTCAGAAACACAAGGTTCTGCCCGGCTGCGTCTCACTCATGATCCTTCATTCTCAGTTTAAGTCTCACTTCCTAAGGGAAGTTCTTCCCTACTCCTGACCCTCATGCATCACAAATAAGCTCTCCTGGGACATATATTGTTGCAGGTCACGATTCAAATGGCTGATGGGGTGGACTGCAGTGAATCCTGTGCTGTGTGGCCCACTTCTCCATCAAAACTAAGGCTTTTTCTTCCAGACGCAGGAAGTGAAGCCACCTGACAGCCGTCAGTCCTCATTGAGAATTGCTGTAAGCTAAAGGAACCTGCGCCTTTCGAGGTCACACCACTCAGATCTCCTGCAGTGGGGGTATGACTGACTGACAGCCATATGTATACACCACAGTGTTTGCACTGAGGTTGCTCCTGGGCTGCCCCCAGCCACTGTCTGAGCACAGCAGGGTACCAGTGCGTGCCCATTGCCATGATCACACAGTGACATTGATGACGAGGATCAGTTACCCCTGCCAGGATGGTAATGACTCTTCTTGGCATGAGGGACATGAAGTGTCAGGCAGCAGAAGTTTGATGGGATTTTGCCATGTCTCTGGAAGTGTTAGCCCTTTAGGAGTCAAGATCTCTAAACCTTCAGAGGCCAAAGGTTGGAGCCCTGAAGCAGAAACTTCCCAAGAAACTCACTGGGAGTGATGTTAGCTGGGGTCACTTCCGCTTCCAGTTTTTGATTTCTGGACCCATGAATTCTATAAACTGGAGATACAACACATGATGATTGTCATTGATTTGGAGTGTACACTGCATCCTGTGAATTATGCAGCCAGAATGTCCTGTGTGTTCAAATGCCTGCACTAAATATGATCATTCTCTTTGAAATTAATTGTTCCCATATCTTCCATTGATTTTTTTAAACTAACCATACTCCATACTCCCTCAAGGCTACCTCTTTACCTCTGTCCTCCCTTTCTCTTACACATTTTATAGGTGGTTTCTATTTGCCACCTATGTTTGCTCAATACTCACTCTTCAACCCACTCTTCCTGGATTATTTCTGCCACTGAGCCTCTGTTTAGACATAATAAATGGAGCCTCCCTAGTATCAACGAAAGCTTCCACCTTGCCAGCAAATGTCAAGGGACATTTTCTATCCTCATTTGGTTAGTCCTTTCAACAAAACTGAAACTATTAACCACTCTGTTTTTCTTCAGGAAGGACCTCTTCGCCTCCATGAGATTGTGGACACCAAGTGATCTCTAGAATCGTGAAAGATTCTTCAAGGGAAGAACATCACAGAGAGTTGGTGCCTGGATTTGGTTCTTGTAGAAATTAAACTTTCCTTAGGGGACAGCTTGTCACGTTTAAGACAAACAAAAGAAAGAAGAATTTCTTCTTGGAAAAAAACCCATTTTCCATCACTGTTGCCTACACAGTCACAACACTGGCTGAAAATTTTCCATTGTCTTGTGTTTGTACCCAAGGGAGCTGAATTGTTTGGAAGGAGGAAAGTCAATAGAACAATTTATTTAATGAGGAGCTCTGAGAATTCAACCCTTGAGATGATAATAACATGTCCCTCTTGCCCTTTTCCTATAATGCTCTGATTCCTGCCTAGGTGAAAACCCAAATGGGCTTCCCAGGGACAGACCTCAGAGAACAGAAAGCTTTAGTGTTAACCATCAGAGAGGGTCATAGCGTCGCAGTGAGCACTGGTGGAGTAAGAAGGAAAAGAGGAGAGAAAGTGGGTACTGGGCATTACATCTAGAGTAACGAGACTGGGACAGTCCCAATTTATTTAGTCTATGAAGGTGAAGTCTCTGTTCTCTGAAGGTACTTTAGTTCCCACTGAACTCAGGCCTTTCCAGCTCTTGCTCTCTTTCCTTCTGTTTCTTTTTGGAATCTAGAGCCTCTCTCCAACAAGAGTTAGATTCTGGAGAGTCTCTATCTCTTCTCTACTCCTTCCCGTAATTGTAGGCTCCTGTTGGATTTCCTGTGTGCAATCATTTATCTACTAACTACTCACTGGAGATCTATTATGCACCAGGTATCGTCTTTTCTTTTCCCTCATGTGATTGGATTTTAAAATTATAATCTCTAACTATTTTTGCAGCAGATTTGACTTGCTGATATCACATAACAGCTCTGTACTGATTGTTAACGTTGTTTAACTTTAGTGTTCACAATATCATCTGCAAATATTATAATTATTTCCGATGTTCGGTACTCAGGCTAACTTCCTTTTCTTACCTTACAAATCTCTAAATGTTCAGGAGAATGTTGAGTGATGGAAGTTGAGTAGACTGTCTTGCTCTGTTCACGAATTTAAAACAAATATTTTTTTGTTTTCATGTAGAATATCCTGTTGGCTGCAGTTTTAAAACAACCATTCTTTACTGGGTAGGAAGTTGCCCTTAGTTTCTTTATTTAGCAAGAGATCTGTCCTGGCTGCTACCCACAGTAATGACTGTTACATTTTCTCAAATGCATTTGCTATTGTGATTATGGTTATGATTTCTCTCCATTGACCTATTTTTGTGGTGAATTATGTTAGCAAACATCCTAGTATTAAACTAGCTTCCCATTCCTAGAATAGGTATTACTTATTTGTGACATATTATTCTCTTAAAGTTGATGTGAATGCATTTGATTTCACTTTATCATTCCATTTTGTGTCTATATTTAGATGTATGTGAGCTTGAAGATTTCTCTTTTGTGTCATATTTTATGCTTTTGGTCTCAGTCTTTATTGCACATGTAGTATTTCTCTGTGCCAGTCACCCTTTAAGTCCCTGGAAAGACGATAGTGAGCAAACACACTCATGTCCTCTGACTCACAAATAAACATGGAATTACCAACATGAGAGGCACATCGAGGAATGTGCAGGATGCTAGACTTGTGGTCCTCCCCGACTCTGGCCTCCTGACCCTCACTCTCTGTTCTCCATCTCACTGGCCTCTCAAATCCTTTCTATTCTTAACCCATAGGCAACCATGATTTCTGCTCTCTCAGCCTAAAATGCTTGTCTTTCCCTTATTTCCCCTGGGTAACAAGTACCCATCCTTCCTCTCACAGCTCAAATATTCATATTTCAGAGAAGACTCTCCATCCACCTCCCAGAGTAAATTGGTCCCTAGTGATTTTTTTTCTCTCTTTGACTAACTGGCATTCTCTAGGTATTAATAACATTGACCTTTTTCCTATCATGGAGAATGTAAACATTTATTATCAAATCTTAAATATGCTTTTCATTTTTATTGTAATTTGATTTATAGAAGCTTTGAATATTTTTATCAAAAATATCAATCATATTTTTTGCACTGATTTTTACTACAACACATTCCCACTTCTGAGCATGTACACATGAGCACACATGCTGTGTATTTTATTTTAATCATTTTGTGATTTTGTTTCTCTTCTTATCCATGTAGTCCACATGCTTTTCCTTCTTGGAAGAATCCACTTAGCAGACAGTGTCTTCCAGAGGGAGCCACAGAGATCTCCATTACTTAGAATTGCTGCATGGTAGTGACAAAAGGTAACAGGCCTATTGTGTTTTCATGTTTTTTTAAAGATTTTATTTTTCCTTTTTCTCCCAAAGCCGCCGGGTACATAGTTGTGTATTTTTAGTTGTGGGTCCTTCTAGTTGTGACATGTGGGATGCCTCAGCGTGGCCTGATGAGCAGTGCCATGTCTGCGCCCAAGACTCGAACCAGTGAAACCCTGGGCTGCCAAAGCAGAGCGCTGAACTTAACCATTCAGCCACAGGGCCGGCACCCAGGCCTATTGTGTTTATAATGATCAGAATTCCACCTTTGGTGACTGCCCTAGTTTAGGGGTAATATTAGCCATGCAAGACAGATTTATTGTGACATTAAGAACAGAAGCTCACATTTATCAAATCTCCACTGTATGTCACAGGAATTACACTAGAAAAATTGCACGCATCATCTCATTTAGTTTTCTCATCAGTCTTACAATGGAGGAAATATTTACTACTACCACTGTAGAGGTGAGATATCTCCAGCTAGGAGAGATTAAGTAATTTTCTCAAGGTCACAAAGATTGTAAGTTGGTTCATCAAAATTAAGTTCTAGGAAGGCTGACTCAAGATTCCATTTTCTAAATCACATATCTATATTGTACCTTGGGAGAGTTATATATCAAAAATAATTGTCATAAAAGGAACATATTAATAATGATAATAATAGCTATCAGTTATTGAGATCCTACTGTGAAGAAAGGGATTTCTAAACCTCACAAAGACGGTAATAGCAGTAATAACATTATTAGAAAGAAAAAAGAAGACACATGAAGGTTAGCTGTGACATCCATAGGAAGTATCAGGTCACAGAATTAATATTGTTTGAGTTGAAACCTCGTGTCTTAATCCCTATTATAAAGTTATTACAATGAAAGAAGTATGCAGATTATCAAAGAAAATACTTTACCTTTCCCAATATTTTGGAGGAGTCATATTGAGGAAGAAATTGGTTCATGTTCCTAGATTCAAATGGGATAATTTGAACCAGTGAGTAGGAGATAAAAGAGAAAATGAGACAGAGAGAGAGATTTCTGCTAAATTATAGAAATCTTGAATGGTTACACACATTTAAAACGCAAATGGGCTACCACTTGACTGAGTAAATCAGTGTCATTGGAAGGACTAATAATGGGAGGAGGCTGTCCGTGCAAAGGTGGACTCAAGAGGGGCTGACTAGCTCAGGCGTCAGGTGGTTGTCTACTGAACCTTGGTTTTGCCTCCTTCTCCAGCAGACACATCAGCTACATGGAAGCAGGAAACCACACAGGAGTATCAGAATTCCTCCTCCTGGGTCTCTCAGAGGATCCTGAACTGCAGCCCCTGCTCTTTGGGCTGTTCCTGTCCATGTACCTGGTCACCGTGCTCGGGAACCTGCTCATCATCCTGGCCATCAGCTCTGACTCCCAGCTCCACACCCCCATGTACTTCTTCCTCTCCAACCTGTCCTTTGTCGACATCTGCTTCATCTCCACCACTGTCCCAAAGATGTTGGTGAACATCCAGGCACAGAGCAAGGACATCTCCTACATAGGATGCCTCACTCAGGTGTGTTTCTTTACACTTTTTTCTGGAATGGACAATTGCCTCCTGACTGTGATGGCCTATGACCGGTTTGTGGCCATCTGCCACCCCCTGCACTACAATGTCATCATGAACCCACGCCTCTGCAATCTCCTGATTCTGATATCTTGGGTCATTATTCTCTGTATCTCCTTGCTTCATATTCTGCTGATGGTGCAGTTGACCTTCTGTATAGGCACTGAAATTCCACATTTCTTCTGTGAACTGGCTCAGATTATCAAGTTAGCCTCCTCTGACACTCTCATTAATAACATCTCCTTGTATGTGGCAACTGCCCTGCTGAGTGTGTTTCCTCTCACTGGGATCCTCTTTTCTTACTCTCAGATTGTCTCCACACTAACGAGGATGTCCTCTGCAGGAGGAAAATATAAAGCATTTTCCACCTGTGGGTCTCATCTCTCTGCAGTGTCCTTGTACTATGGGACAGGCCTTGGGGTCTACCTCAGTTCTGCTGTGACCCATTCTTCCAAGAGAAGCTGTATCGCTTCAGTGATGTACACTGTGATCACCCCCATGCTGAACCCCTTCATCTACAGCCTGAGGAACAAGGATGTGAAAGGGGCCCTGGGAAGGCTCCTGAGCCGAGCATCCTCTTGTCTGTGATGGGTCACTGGCCTCAGAACTAACTGGACACTGTGGGCCCCAAAGGCAAATGTTGCAAATTTAAATCTCCTGGTTCTTTTTCTCCCCTAAAACACATGCTTGATTTCTTCAGTTTCCAAAACACCCATGACTTCACTTTTATTTGTTTTTATTAAGTTCTCCTAAACAGCTCCCACAGTAATTCCTTTTTGACTTTTCCTGCTTATGTGCCGTCCAGAAAGTTCTATGTTTGGTCAGCTGTCTTGCGGCCAATCTTAAGATTTCTAACTTTATATTTAAAGCATTTATCATGTCAAGTGCTGGTGTGGTTTCCCCCAAAACTATCCTCTCAAGCTTTGATGCTCCTCACCTTCTCTTGGTTGTGTGTTTGTTTTCTCCAGAAGAAATTGAATGAAAATCACACAGTCGTCACAACAAAGTGCTTACTGTATCAGGACTGTGCTTGTTTCTTCACGTGTATGATTTTATTTCATCTTTGAAACATTTCTTTGAGACACTTTCCTTCATTCACCCCACTTTTCAAAAGAAGAGACTAAGATTGAGTTGGACTATGGCCTCGCTAGCTGACGGTGACTTTGCTACCCTACTTTTCAGAAGAACAGTGATGTGATTTTCAATTTCAAAGTAGGAATGTGGATTTGGAAGCTGGTTTGTTCAGATGATTGATGGTAATATACCGCCTAGAATATTGCTTCATTCTTTATAATGAATAACTACAATTCTTCCAAGTTCTAGAGGCCCCCTTCATTCATTGGCTCATGGCCCCTTCCTCCATCTTCAAAGTCGCCAGTATGGCATCTTCCAATCTCTCTCGAGCCCTCCCACCTTCCTCTTCTAAGGACAGCTGTGATTACGTTGAGCCTACCCAGATAATTAAGGAAACTTTTCTCATCTCAACATCCTTAATTTCATCACATCTGTAACGTGCCTTTTAGCTCCACGTGAAACCAGACAAAGAAGCCAGCAGCTCTCACAACTCACACCTGGTATCTTCGATCCTAAAGAAGAACTGGATTTATTTCAGCTTCTCATGTATAAAAAAAGTCTCAGAGAAAGAGTCTGATTGACACAGTCATATCCACTTTCACCTGGGACCAATCAACTGTGGTTAGGATACAATGAAACTGGCAGCCACTTCAGAGCCATGTATGTTTATTCAGCTATCGACCCTATTTTTCCTGAGTATTTACTATGTGTCAGTCATTATTTTGGGCTAAACTCCAAAGGATAAAGAGGATCAGGAGTGTAGGGAGGGCAGGTTGTCACTTATAAAGGATGGTCTTCAAAAAACTCATTGAGAAACTTACATTTGTGAAGACAGTGAATGACTGAAGTGAGTACGTATCTAGGGAAAGAGTGCCCCAGGCGGAAGGTAAGGTTACTACAAAGCCCTTGAGGTGTGAGGTGGCCTGGGGAGAAAGTGGCTGGAGCAGAGACAGTGAGGGGAAGCACAGTAAAAGAGGACAGTTATCGGGGACTGATCATATTAGGCTTTCTCTGCCCTTGAAGGACTTTTGCTTTTATTTATGCTGGGTTATGTGGGGAGTCATTGCACGGTTGTGAGCAGACATATGGCATGATCTGACTTGGGATTTTAAAAGATTGTTCTGGCTGCTGAGTTGAGAATGGATTGCAGGCTGAGGGGAAGCCAGCTTGGATCTGACAGCAGCATGGCTGATAATGTATAGGAGGCTAGGAGCAGGAGGAGATAGAGTGTCAGGATTGAGAAGTGGTCAGTTGAGCTATATTTTGGAGGAGGAGCCAAGAGGATTTGTCAGTCAGGATATGGGTATGAGAAAAAGAGAGGAAGCAAGAATGACTCCAGGGTTTGGAGCCCGAACAACTGGAAGAATGGAATTGCCTCCATTGAGACACGGAGGGCTGTGGGTGGAGCAAATTTGGGAAGGAAAGGGGACATCAGAAGTTCAGGTTTTGAAATGTCAAAATTGACATATTCCAAATGGATAAATATTATATGATTCTACTTGTAAGAGATGACTAGAGGAGTCAAATTCATAGAAACAGAAAGTAGATCCATGCATGCTAGAGGCTAGAGGAAGGGGATGAGGTGTTAATGCCTAATGGGTCAGAGTTTTGGCTTGGGAAAAAGAAAAAGTTCTGGACGTGGGTGGTGGTGATGGTTGCTCAACAATGAATGTACTTAATGCCACAAAATATTAATAAAATGGTCCATTTTATGTTATGTAAATTTAGCCACATTAAAAAAAGCTAAAGTAGCACAAAAAATGGAGAAAGATTGTGAGATTTCATCCAGATAGTATTTTCTATATCATTATAAAATAATAGAGAAAAGTTGGGAGTTTTTAGATAAAAATTTTAATATTTGTCCTCAACTGGCTTTGATGGTTTTCTAACCCATGACAATATTGACATTTTGGTCTATATAATTATTTGTCGTGTGGCACTGTTGTGTGTATGGTAAGACTTTTGACAGATTCGTGTCATCTACCCACTAGATGCCGCACTGAGTTGTGATAACCAGAAGTGTCTGCAGACATTGCCAGTTGCCCTGTAGGCAACAAAGTGGGCCTGATTGAAAATTGCTGAAGTAGAGCAATTGTGTGGGTGCCTGAGTTGATGGTGGTAGTGTTCACAGTATGAGAATGACAGGAAGAGCAATATTTTAGGGAGGATAAAACATGATTTGAATCTTGGAAACGAGGTAAAGGACAAGCAGAACATCCCATTGGTGCTGTTATCTCAGAGGTCAAATGTATTGGTGTGGCAATCATCAGTCTGCCTGGGTGCAGCATAAATCAAGTAATTGTGCAGAGAAAGGGAGAAGGCTTTGCTTAGAGAGTCAGGAGTTAGAAAGAAGCTGATGCTGAGCTGAATCCTACCTGTGATCCTTCAGTTCTCAGTTATAGGGCCTCACTGGATATATGCTCTCAGTGAACACTGTATCGTTCATCACAACATTAGCCACCACCGTGATTAAATAATTAGTTGTATAATTATTTCCTAATGACTGTCTTTTTAAAACCTCCACCTGAACTTTGAATCCCATCCCTTTCTAGCTCTGGGGAGAATTTACGCTATCCCTTATCTTTTCTTTATCCTCTATATTCAAATATCTACATGCAACATTATAATTTCCAAAGTCATGGGGATGTTCCATATTCCCATTTCTTTCAATGAAAATGAAACTCTCTCAAAGACCCATAGTCCCTTTTAGATATTGCACCAACATTTGGAGACTATGGTCTTCCTTGAAACTTGCATATCTACTCCACTCACTCTCTCTCCAACCAACTCATCTGGGGTCTTTCTACCTCCATCACAATTTCTCTCCCTAAGGTCTTCCGTGACTTCATGTCCCTGATAAATTTTAAGGGATATTTCCAACTCCTCAAAGTGATTAACTTTTCAGTAGCAATGTCACTAATGGCTTCATTCTCCTTCTAGAAATAGGGACCTTCTCATGCATTTCATCTTTGTAACAATGGGATTCTGAGAGTCAAGTCTATTGGGCTCCTTGTAACATTGATACATCCCAAAGGGAGAAACTTTGAAATTAGGTCCTATGAAGGAGAGGCAAGAATTTGGGCAGTATCTTAAAGACACCTGGGAGACTTCTTTGAAAGAAGAACAATAAACTTTTTTAACCTCCAGGGGAATAATCTTGTTGACTGCAAATGTTGAATGTATGAAATAGAGAAGAAATAATTGGAAGAAAGAAATTTGCCTCTTTCCACAATTATCTTTAGGGAAACGGAAGTGGCAGAAAGTTTTGTTTCTATTTTTCTCCTTCCACTCCAAGGGAGCTTGATTCTCTAAAACGTAGAATGAAACTAGAACAATTTATTTAATGAGACTATCTGAGAATTCAGTCCTGAAGGTCCTGGAAACATTTCCTAAGCTTCCAGTGTCCCCAAGGTAAACCATATTGGGCATCTGTGAGATATAGGTTACTAATTCCCTGCCTGGAGCATCTTCCTGTACTTTCTGGGGAGAAGTCACTGTAGTAGGAAGAGCAGGGCCACCAGGGGTTTCCATGATGCCATCTGAAAGAGTCAGTGTTTCCTAGCAAAGGCTGGGAGCGGGGCGGGGGAGGGGAGGTGTAAACAATGGAGGGGAAACTTTTATTAGATCAGAGTACTAGGGACACAAACACTCTCCAAGTGTCTCCAGACCAGGAGCATCAGCATCCCTGGGGAGATTGTTAGACATGCAAATTCTTGTCCTTCATCCCAGATCTAGTAAATCAGAAACTCCATGGCCAGGCTCAGTCATCTGTGTTTAATAAGCTTTCCGGGTGGATCTTATGCATGGGTAAAATTTGAAAGAACTGTCCTAGGGCCTTGTTGAAGTAGATGATGAAGGATCCACACATGGCTGCATCTTCAGAGATCTGAGGGGTCTCTACCTCCAAAATCTTTTTTTTTTTTTTTGGGGAAGATTAGCCCTGAGCTAACTACCGCCAATCCTCCTCTCTTTGCTGAGGAAGACTAGCCCTGAGCTAACATCAGTGCCCATCTTCCTCTACTTTATAGATGGGATGTCTATCACAGCATGGTGTGCCAAGCGGTGCCATGTCCACACCCAGGATCTGAACCGGTGAACCCCAGGCTGCAGAGAAGCGGAACGTGCAAACTTGACTGCTGCACCACTGGGCTGGCCCCAACCACCTCCAAACTCTTATCATCAAATAATGATGCACTTGTCTTTTACTTTACAATGCGCATGTCCCCTTTCTTTTCTCATCTTATGCATTTGTGTGAATTACCAGAATAAAATTAAATACTTACAGTTCACAGCAGTGTAGGGGAGGAAGAAATATTTCTCTACTCTCTAGATTCATCTGGCTGGTCTAAGAATTAAACTGAAAGGAGACAGAATGACAGGAGGAAATCCAACACATTTAATAACACGTATACATGCGAGAAACACAGGAAAACTGAGTAACTCATCAAAATGGCTGAAGCCATTTCCTTAAATACCATCTTCAGCCAAAGACAAAGGAGGATGTTGAAGGGGGCAGGTAGTGGTTAGAGATTTCAAAGGGGAAGCAGACAATCACACAGAGATGGAAAAGCAATGTGTGGTGAAGAATTGTTTGACATACGTTGTAAAGACAATGGGACATGGGGAGGAATTTGATCAAATGGGCCTTGCTAGGTTCCTCCCTGTATACTGTTTTCGTTATCTATGGTAATAACGCCTTCCTGAAACAGGCCCTCTTTCTTAAATTCTTCTAGGGAGTTAGGAAGAACGTCAAATTTTCTTTCTAAGTCTTTTGTTCTTAAGAGTAATAAAGCCAAAGAAACATATTTTGGGGTGGCAAATTCTGATCTCCCACAGCAGCAATTCTTGCATATTCATTGTCATTTCTTAATGCTTCCATGTTCAATTGAACATTATGTTGCACTGAAAAATCCACATTACTTATCACTTGAGAGATATATCCTTATTTTCCTACTTTGAGAGCCTGCATCTTCCCACACATATACACATACCACCATTTGCATCAATGATTGTTAAAATTTATCAAATACATTTTGATTCCTATAGAACTTGTCAGATTTGGTATTGATATATTTGTGCAATTAAATTAATGTAAATAAGTTTCCTAAAGTTGAAACATTTAAATTCCTGCGATAAGCATTATTAACCCATGATGTATTGTCCTTTAGCATACTGATCAAGATAATCTTAAAAACAAACAAAAATACAAACTCATAGATACAGAGAACAAATTGGTGGTTGTCAGAGGGAGTAGAAGAATAGATGAAAGTGGTGAAAAGGTACAAACTTCCTGTTATAAAATAAATAAGTCCTGGCGATGTAATATAT